ACCTACCATCCACCCAGTGAGGGTTCAAACCCACGTTTTTCGGATGTCGAACGACTAACTAGTGATTATTATCATCAATAACAAAATTACATTTCTGTAGCGCCTTTCATGTCGGGCGAATGTCCCAAGGTGCTGGACAATCAGTGTTTTGGACCCGAGCTGGGGGTTATTGGGGAGGGCAGGGGGGAAAGAGGGTGACTGAAGGCACGGTCGAAGAGGAGGATCTTGAGACGGGTCTTGAAGGAGGCAAGGGAGGGGGCAAGGCAGAGGGACTATGGGAAGGAATTCCAGATGGTGGGGTAGAGTGGCAGAAGACTGCCCGCCAAAGGTGAGGCGGGGGATGTGAAGCAAGCTGGAGCCTGCTTAGCGGAGGGAGCGAGCAGGATGGTAGGGGTTTAGGAGGTTATGGAGGTAGAGTTGAGCAAGGCCATGGAGGGCTTTGAAGGTGAGGACCAGGACCTTGAACTGTATCCTCTGTGTGATGGGAAGCCAGTGGAGTCGGGCGAGGATGGGGGTGATAGGGTCATGAAGCCTGGTGTGGGAGAGGACACCGACTGCCAAGTTGTGAATGATCTGCAGCCTATGGAGGGAGGATCTGGGGAGGCCGACAAGCAGGGAGTTTGCATAGTTGAGCCTGGATGTTATAAATGCGTGTATGAGGGTCTCGGTGGCCTGAGGTGTGTTGTGGAGCCGGGTGATGTGGGGGAGGCACCAAGGATCCAAATTGACTCAGTGAGGTGGAGTGTGCAACCCTGGATGGTGATGCTGTCAGCGCCTGAGGTGCGGCGGCATTGATGGAGCTAATCAGGAGAGCCTCGGTCTTGTTGACGTTCAACTGAAGAAAGTCAGCTCTCATCCAGGACTTGATGTCTGACAGACATTCTGTCCTGGTTCAGCAGTTACCCCAGCGCACACTCTGGGGTCTTCAAACCTTGACGCTTGACAACCTGCACCTTATAACTTTCTGGAATTAGGTAAACTGAATGTGTCCCTCCAGGGAGAGAATGAGAGAGAGAGAGAGAGCGAGAGAGAGCACATTTCATTCCAACAATCTGGGATTTCCATGTGTAGATGGGATGCAGGGAATTTTCAGTTTGGTTTGGAGACCCTTAAGCAACGGTGATGGGTTTCCCCATGTGTCAGACACTTAGTTGACTTCACAAAATGGCCACTGAGTGCAGCAATTTTTTTAGAGTGTTTTAGAGACATGCCGGTGTTATATAAAAGGGAGGAGAGGGGCAATCCATGGAATAGTTTGGATATTCCTAAGAAAAGCGATGGGTCAGAAATGATCAGAAGTATGTGTCAGAAAATCCTTGGTGGTGGGGAAAGAGTCTCATTGCTTATTGTGTGGAAGCCTTTTGTAATTCACACAATTGGCTGTTTGTTTCCAGCTGTTACAGAGAGAAAACAAACCTCGTCTTGAACAGCGAGAGCTTTAATATTCATTGGTGGGAGGGTTCAGAACCGGAGGAAAAATAATACAAACCTGATATCTTAAAGCGCTTCACAGACTATACTGTCAAGCGAATTGACTATATTTTGTGAACAAAATGAAGCAGACAATTGTGCACTGTATTGTCCCACAAACTCATGGATTGAATGACCAAATACTTTTTTGGGGGGGGAGTTATTATCCTCGGGAAGCAATCTGCCAATCGAAACAGAAGCATGTGGAGTAATGAAACTTGCCAAAAGTTTTGCCCCATCTGGGAATTGAACCCAGGTCCTCTTGCTTGCGAGGCGAGTGCTGTAACCAATTTCTTCTTACTGCCTCATAGCCTGGTGTAACGCATGATATTTTTGGGGGTGGTAGTCAGAGAAGAGGTAATGCACAACAAAGGAGGGGGAAAAGAGGGAGCAGAGCTGGTGGCACATATTGTGAAGGGAGATCCCAGCCAGCGCGGGTTTGGCCAGCTCCACGGCTGTGCACAAAAGGGGAATTTTATTTGACCTGCTTCTGCCTCTGGTCACGAGGTTCTACACAAAACCTTCCTCTGGATAGTTCCCCTTTGTTCCTCTCACCGCTGTGTAAAATCCCCATTGTGTGTGTTTTGCCAACTATTGCAATGTATTTAACCCCCACTGTTTGTGTATGTGTGTGTGTGTAATTTGATGGAAAAACTATTTGGTTTGACTTTATATAGGTTAATGAGGCAATGTGATTAAGCCTTAACTTGATATTTGGTTTTAATTTATTGTTTGTATGTGGTCTGACTTGTGGGTCAGGAACATTTCATTTACCATTCCCCCACCCAGAGGAAAAGTTGTGGTGTTTGAACGCTGGGGTATGGCGTGTTGATTGATAGTGTGCATAGCAACCTATAATGTAAGCTATTAAAGTTCGTCACAGGAATTGTTATCAGTTGCTGACTTATGGTGGGTGGGGAGAGGGAGATTCTATGAGGAAGGGTTGTGGAAAGAGCTCCTAGACTCAGCTGTAAGTAGGAACCTGGTTGTTAGTCGATTGGCAGATCACTTTCCGGAGGTAATAATTGTCCCGAAAATATTAAAATGTGATTACTCAATCCATGACTGTTTGTGGGACGCTGCTGTGTACAATTGGCTGAGTGTTTCACCCACAAAATCCACAGTCAATTCACTTTACAATATATTCTGTGAAGCGCCTTGAGACTTCTCAACAATGTGATAAGGCGCTATATCAAATGTTTATTATACACAGCGGGAGAGTAAAGATCTCTGTTTGAGTGGGTGAATGGCTTATGCTCTTTTTGTAATGTTCCGGCCAACAATCCCCCACCTAAAATTTATCTTTTTTTTAAGCCAGCCCAGTATCTGACACATGTGGAAACCCATCACAGTTGTTTAAGAGCATCCAAACCAAACTGAGAATTCCCTGCTTCCCACCCACAGAGATAGATTGTTGAAATAGAGTGCACACTCTCTCACTGGAGAGACACATCCTACTAATTCCAGAAAGTATTAGGCACAGGTTGGCAAGAGCCAAGGCTTGGCGATCCCAGAGTATGTGTTGGGATAACTGTTGGACTCTAACCAGCTAAAACCATTAATATTTGCTGTCCGGCAAGCTTTCCCACTGCTTGTCCAGCTGGGACATCCTACCCTTTAGGGCCTTGACTTGCACGGTTAACAGGAACTGAGGATTCTCTGCCCCCAGTGACTGGTCTGCACTTCCAGCTCTTGTTGATGGGCTGTGCTGTCATCAGAAGTGAGTGCCCTGGAATACTGTGGACCTCCCTGGCTCAGGAACCAGACTGGAGACCGTCACAGAGGGCTGGCTCCAACATTTCATCGCTAAATGTGTCACCTTGGTGCCAGTTCAGCTCCAAGTTGATGCCAATTACCTCCTTCACCCCAACCCCCTCTCCCCCCCCCCCCCCCCCGGGAGGGTCATCACCTTGTGGCTGTTTTGGGACTTTGCTGTGTGCAAATCGGTTGTTTCATGTGGCCACAGACTAATCACTGCACTCGAATCCTGTGAAGTATTTGAATGATGTGATGTGATCAAATACAAAGATTATTATATCCAAATATATATAACACAGCTGTAGCATTATTTGGACTGTTTGGCCCCGAGGGGAGGGCGTGACTGACTAGCCGTTGGCTTACCAGCCTGGGTCTCTGATCTGTGGGTGTGCTCCCAGCCTGGTGGGGGTGGGCTGGGCTGCCTTGTGCACATCGCCAGCTGATGGTGAGCTGAGGTTCGGTTGTCCCTTTGAAAGGGTCTTTGTTCAGAGACCGGGATGTCACGTGTGCCTCGGGGATGATGCAACACAGCGGGTGATGCATAGTTTATTTTAAAAAAAAGACTGGATTCAGTCAATCTGTCACTCCAGTACGACATTGGGGGAGTGTTTATTGTCTGAGGTTCCATCCTTCAGATGAGATATTGTTCTATCTTAATCTGAGATCTCGTCTGCCTCTGCAGGTAGATGTTAATAATAATCCTTACGTTTTGGTTTGGGGTCATTGCGACATCTCGCAGCGCTACACAGGCTGTACCGTGAAGTATTGTTTGTACTTTGTACGCAAACAGCAGTCAGTTTACACAGCAAACGCTCATTCCACGCCCATGTGAAGTGCTCTGATCATTTTCTGAAACGCTGTATGCAGAGTTTCCTCTTTGATCGGGGTCCAAGGTCCCCCACCTCGCAAGCGAGAGGACTCAGCTTTGATCCCCAGGCAGAGCAAAATCTCACCCAAGTTTCGTAACTCCGCACGATTTTGTTTACCTGGCAGCAGGTAGGAATCCAGTTGGTAGCCGCCTGCCGGATCCGGGGGTAATAATCCCTTCAAAAAATAATAATTTAACTGTTTGTGGGCCACATCCCTTCCTCGTAGAATCTCCCTCTCCCCACCACCATAAGACAGTAACTGATAACAATTCCTGTGAAGGAATTTAATAACTTAGATTATAGGTTGCTATATGCACTATCAATCAACACATCACAACTTTTCCTCCGGGTGGGGCGGGGGGGTGGCAAGTGAAATGTTCCTGACCCACAATTGGCTGCCAAGTTTCACCCAAATATTGTCAATTCGCTTTACAGCATATTCTGTGACAGTCTTTGGGACGTCTCAAAGACTTGATAAGGTGTGATATCAAATGTTGCTGTTGTTACTATTACTGTTGTTGTGGATTGACTGTATTTTGTGGACATTTAGTGTTAAAAGGGCTCCTTATGTACTGCAGATTTCTATGATTCTATACGTTGGCCTGAATGTCTTTTGGGGGGAGAAAAGGAGGAAGCATTGGGCTCAACGAGGGGTGGGTCGGGAAGGAGGAGCTGTTGAACATGTCACCCGCTCGCTGACCTGTGTCTGTATGCAGGTTGCTGACCCCTCTCTCTCTCTCTCTCTCTCTGCTGGGGGGCTGAGCCCCCAACCCCACCACTCTCTCTCTCTCTCCCTCCCTCTCCCTCTCTGCTGGGGGCTGACAACCCCCCACCCCCCACTATCTCTCTCTCTCTGTGCTGGGGGGGCTGACCTCCTCTCTCACTCTCTCTTTGTGTTTGCAGGTTGCTGGGGCTGTGCTGACCTATGTGGCGGCCGCATTGCTCTCCACGTACAAGAACTACGCCAACTTCTTCCATGACCAGTACACAGTGCTGCCGGCCTCGGTGATCCTGGGGGTGGCTCTGCTCATGTTCGGTATCGGCATCATCGGCTGCTGCTCCACCCTGAAAGAGTCTCCCTGTGGTCTGGGGCTGGTCAGTATCCAACAGCCTCTGTGTTTGATCCCTCGACTGCAGCCTCGGTTGACGCTCCAAAGCAACACCAGCATTATATGTATAAAGCACCTTTCATGTCGAGAGATATCAGTATTTCGGACCCGAGCCGGGGCTCAGTAGTGGGAAGAGGGGAAGGAGAGTGATCGAAGAAGAGGGTCTTGAGACGGGTCTTGAAGGAGACAAGGGAGGTGTAGGAGTGCCGTCCTGGGTGCTGTCCTGCATAGGTTTGACGGGAGATGGTGCAGTGGGATTGATGCATAATCTTAAAAGTTAGAGCTGGGCCATTTAGGAATGAAATCAGGAAGAAGTTTTTCGCACAAAGGGTTAGTGGGAATCTGGAACTCTCTGCTCCAAAAGGCTGTGGATTATGGATCCATTCACATCTTCCAAGACTGAGGTGGTTATTTGTTAGGTTAGGGTATCAAGAGGCGATGGTGGGTAATTGGAGATCAGTACAGATCAGCCGTGATCTTATAGAATGGTGGAACAAGCTTGAGGGCCTACTGAATGGCCTACTCCCGTTCCTATGCTTCTATACCGCTTGCTCTGAGAGCCGGTGCAGATGCGATGGACCGAATGGCCTCCTTCTTTGCTGTGAGTTCCTGATTCTACTCTGAGACCTAAACCCAGGCCCAGTCTATCTACTCGGGTGGATGTTAAAGATTGTGTGACTGTGTGAGTTTCTAGAGGTTGTGGTTTTCAAAGTCAGATAACCTTCCTGTGTCTGGAGTGGCTGATAACTAGTCATGGGGTCTTTAACCCTTGAGCTGCTGCAGCCTAGTGAAGAACAGGAACCATCTGCTCCCCATTAACCTTCGCTTATTCCTCTCAAACTCCACCACCTTCCAGTGTGTGTTTGGAGGTGGGGGGGGTGGGGTGCCTGACCACTGCCCCCTCCATTCTCGCAGGCTGAGTCCACTAACTCAATCACAACAACAGCAAATTACATTTATACAGTATCTTTCATGTCAGGAGGACGTCCCAAGGTGCTGGACAGTCAGGGATTTGGACCTGAGCTGGAGGTTGGGATCAGGAGGGGTGGAGGGCAGGTAGGGTGACTAAAAGCTCGGTCGAAGAGGAGGGTCTTGAGACGGGCCTTGAAGGAGGCAAGGGAGGGGCCAGTTGAAGGGATTGAGGGATGGAGTTCCAGAGGGTGGGAGCAGAGACACTGAAGGCCTGAGAGTCAAGGATTTGGACTGTGGTTACCTGGAGCTACCTGGTGGGAGGGGGTGGTGGGTAAGAAAATCTGTGCTGATGAGCTGCTTGCCAGTTTGTTGCTAACATGTCTTCTCCCCGTTCCCCCACTACAGTTCCTTTTCATTCTCCTCCTGATCTTCACTGCTGAGGTGACGGCCTTTGTGATGGCGGTCATCTTCAGGAAACAGGTCAGTGCTGAACTTGCTCCCCCACCCCCAACATACAAGCTGATTGTGGGAGGAGACTGACTCTCCCTTACACACACACCACCCCAGCACCTACCCATTGACTTGTTTGATTTCAGATGAGTAGAGGCTAGCATTGCCAGTGAACCTTGGGGTATAGGTTGGTGGGGGGGGGGCCTTTGGGGTCTGGTGTTGAGGTAGGGGCTGAGGTTGGAGTCGCATAGTGGTTACCAAGCGAGAGGACCCTGGCTTGATTCCCAGGTGGGGTGAAACCTTAGGCGGGGTGAGGGGTGCAAAGATGGGAGTTTAGGGTGGGTGCGCTGGCGTTGGAGACATGGGGGGGCAGGGGGCTGGAGTTAGATTGCTGATGACCCATTTCCGTTCTTTGAGTGTGGGGAACCGTCTGATGTTGAGTGCTCTGGGACTTGCCCCTGCGTGAGGCGCACTATACAAATCCCAGTTGTTGTTGACAACGGGTGTTGTGCCCACAGGTACATGAGGGTGTGGACGGCTCCATGACCATCGTCTTCAAGAAATATGATGGGACGAACGCGGATAGCCGGGCTGTGGATTACCTGCAGAAAGAGGTGAGCTTGACGCATGTGGTTCTGCCCACAACAACAACAAATTAGATTTACACTACGCCTTTTATGTCAGAAGGTGCCGGACAGTCAGGGATTTGGATCCGAGGTGAGGTTTGGGATCAGAAGGAGAGGAGGACAAGAGGGCTAGGAGGGTGACCGAAGGTGCAATCGAAGAGGAGGGTCTTGAACGAGGCAAGGGAGGGAGCAAGGTGAAGGGACTGTGAGATGGAGTTCCAAAGGGTGGGGGCAGAGAGGCTGAAGATGGTGAGGGTTACGTGGAGCAGGCAGGCCAGAGCCTGCTCAGCGGAGGGAGTGGACAGGTCGATATGGAGTTAGCAGGTCACAGAGGTAGGGAGGAGCAGTGGAGGGCTTTGAAGGCAAGGACAAGGATTTTGAACTCTATCCTCTGGGGAATGGGGGGGCCAGTGGAGCTGCGTGAGGGTGATGGGATCATGGAGCCTGGTGCAGGAGAGGACATGAGCTGCAGAGTTCTGGATGATCTGCAGCTTGAGGAGGGAAGAGTTGAAAAGGCCAGGCAGGTCGGGGAGCCTGCTGAGCCGATATGGGTTAGCAAGTCACACAGATTCCACAACCAGTTACGGAGGGGAGGGGTGGGGAGGAGGCCTAAGGATGGCCTCATGTGTCTTTTTCTCTCTCTCTCTAGATGCAGTGCTGTGGAGTCAACAACTATACGTACTGGCTGAGCACTGAGTGGTTTGCCAAGGCCAATAACTACAGTGTCCCCATCAGCTGCTGTAGAGCCTCGTTCTCTAACTGCACTGGCAGCTTAAACCACACAGAGCTGATCAACACAAAGGTACTCACTCTTTCTCCACCCCCCCACACTCCCATCCCAACACACACCCTGGAGCAGATCAGGGGTCAAAGGTTTCAGATGGGGGCTGAGGTCAGGACGAACTATGGGCAGTTAAGCAGCAACTCATTTGTGAAAAGCTATAGGCAAGTGAGTCAGTTTAGGCCAACGTCAAAGTGATTTGGTGGGGGGGTTGGGGGGGAACATGAGCCCGATAACCCCACAACACTGACTTCCCACTGGGCCGGTTGTGCTTGTTCCTGCTTCACTCGTTCTGGTGGATTGAGTTTGAGGATGAACGACGTATGAGCTCCTGTAGCCGGGTGGTTAGAGCACTTGCCTCGCAAACGAGAGGATCCGAGTTCAATTCCCGGGCAGAAGTATGATGGTTTGAGCCCCAAGTTGGACTCTTGAGCTCAGTCTGGGCTGACACAGCAGTGCGGTGCTGCATTGTCAGAGATGCCGTCCTTTGGTTGAGATGTGAAACTTTGGTCTCGTCTGTACCTGTTCAGGCCAAGGTTAGAGACCCCGCACTGCTCTGGGGAGGGTTATCCCTTGCAGTACTGACCACCTGCTCTTTCTCTGACTGTAGGGCTGTGAGAACAAACTGCAGATGGGATTGGAATCCATCCTTAGCTACGCCGTGCTGGTCATCCTAGTATTCGCCATCATTAAGGTACTGTTTGTTTCTCTTGGACTCTTGTGGTTCCCACAACTATTGTTGGATTGCATGGGGGGGGGGGGGGGGGGGGGGAGAAGACCATCAATGGCCATGTGTTTGGTTCTGTGTGCCTTGTCTCTAGTGCCACGTGTTAAGCAAATGTGGCTATAGCGCAGTGATTAGACCACTCATCTCGCAAGCGAAAGGGCGGGGCGAAACCTTAGGCAAGTTCCTTACTCCACACACCTCTGTTCCCGCTTCATTCAAACCTAGCAGTAAGTAGGAACCTGGTTGTTAGTTGATTGGCGGATCGCTTTCCGGGGGGAATAATCCCTCCTCGAAAAATAATAATGTGGTCGCTCAATCCACGACTGTTTGTGGGACGCTGCTGTGGGTAATTGGCTGCCGCGTTTCACCCACAAAATATGTACTCAATTCACTTCGCAGTATATCCTGTGAAGCGGTTTGACGCATCTCCACGACATAATAAGGCGCTGTATCAAGTGCAAGGATCATTATGATAAACTAGCTGATCCTCGCTGAAATTTTTTTTCTTTCCAGTTTTTCGGGATGATCAGCATCTGTGTGATTGGCTGCCGACGGCGTCGGAACACTTACGAGCCACTCTCCTCGGGCCTGTACAGGGGCACTTACGCCTGAGGCCTCCTGCAGTGGGGGATGGCTGCCAACAGAATCATTGATGAAAGAATCTCGCCAGCACTTTGCACTAGGTTAACTCGATGTCAATGTTCTCAGGCATATTGGGGCGGGCGGGGGGGGGGAGTGGTGTAAAGGTCACTGATGGGTTTGGCGCTAATATGAAAATCACGCTGACCAGATGTCCAACTTAAAATGTGTTTCTGTCAAATCCATTTTTTTTCTCTCTATTTAGGTCTTCCCCTTCCCCTCCCTATCCCCCCCCTCTCGCTCTCTCTCTCTTATTCTAAGATCCAGATTCTCGAAAGGAAGCCGGCTGCTTGGTACTGAGTTTGAGCTATAATGCGCCTCCCCTCACCAACTGCATTGACTGTACCTGACCACACACCACTCAATGACTCCTTCCTACGCTTTCCAGAGCCCCTCCTGAGCAGAGTCTTCACCTCCCTCCCTCCCTCCGCATCACAAATATTAGATAGCTTGCTGTTCGCTCCTGAAGACACCAGACTGACTGACAGAATTCTGCTTCTATCCCAGTGATGAATTTTTGGCTGCTCTCAACACAACCATTGATTAATTCTGTCACCACAACCAACCTGAATGGAGAGATTTCCTTCCTTTCTTTTCTCTTTCTACCCACCCCAACCCACCCCCGGTACTGAACCTGACCCAGCAAATCGGCAAATGTAAGTGAGGTCATAACCTGGTCAATTAAAGGGCATAGTTCACGAAGTGGGGATTTTTCATCCATTTAGGCACATGGGGGGGGGGGTTGGAGGATGGTCTGTCTTCATGAATAGCTCAGGGGTGGTTTGGAGTGGGGGGAATGGAGGTTCATAGCTCAACCAAGGAGCTCTGGGTCAATGGACAACTCCCCCTCCCTGTTGGCGTAGTCTTGGGTGCCCTGGTGATCCTGGTCTGGGAGCGGAGTGTGTACCAGTTGTGGCTGTGGCCCTCACGGCTGAGCTTCCTGGAGCGATCACTCACTGCTCCTGGCACTGAGTAATTGGGAGGTTCTGTGGCCATTCTCTGAGGGATAACTTAAGCTGGGATGTCCTATTGGGAGTTGCTCTGGTTTAGAGCAGGGTTGGGTACTGATGCTATCTGTTGCACATCCTCTCCACGCGAAGTAGCTGATCACTGACACTCACTCACCTGGAATAATTTCACTCTTTGTAACTAATGCCATGATGATTTGTGTGTTTAGCTTTTTAACTGCTTTTACAGAACCTGGAATGACTGTGGTTGTGTTAATAATAAAAGTCTTGTAATAAATCACGTTCTTTCCTAATTTCTGCTGTCAGACAAACACTTAGTTATAATAATCCTTGCGTTTGATACAGCATCTTTTCTGCAGGGAGCAGGAAATCCTCCCCCTCAGCTCCTGTTAACCCTGCAAGCCAAAGCTCTAATAAATGGGGTGTTCCTAACTGGACAAACAGCGGGAAAGTTTGCCAAATGGTGCTCTCAATGGCAAACTATGTGGTCTTAGCTGGTTGGACTCCAGTAGTTACCCCAATGCATACTCTGGGGTCCCAAAACCTTGGCTCTTGCCAACCTGCGCCTAATACTTTCTGGAATTAGGTAAGCAGGGTATGTTCTTCCAGGGAGAGAGTGCGCATTCCATTCCAACAAATTTTTCTCTGGGATTTCCATGTGTTGGTGGGATGCATGTAATTCTTGGTTTGGATACTCTTAAACATGGTGATGGGTTTCCGCATTTGTCAGACACTCAGCTGACCAAAAAAAAAGCACCTATTGCATCGATAGTGCATCACAGAATTTTACTGTAAAGTGCAGTGACTATATTTGCAGGCGAATGCGAGCATACAATTTGTACCCAGCAACGTCCGGTGAACAGCCATGAAGTGAATGACTGACGTATCTGAGGACTGGAGGCCAGGACACGGGGAGAAACTCCCTTCACTAATCTGACAATTCCTTTGGTTAGTTTCATTTTAAAGCAGCCTGAAGTTGAGGTTGATCAAGTTTTGTGCACAGTGGATTGAGTGTTGCTGGTCTAAGACTGGCCCTGCTGTACGTCAACAACAATTTGCATTTATATAAGCGCCCTTCACACCAGGCGGAGTCTCGGAGCAATTAGCGTCCCCCACAGAGCAGGCCAGTTGCTGCGGTTCAATTCCTGGGCAGGGCAAAACTTTAGTCACGTTTCCTCACTTCATCCGCCTCTGTTTATACAGCAGTAAGTGGTTATTAGTCGATTGGCGGATCACTTTCCAGGGGTAACAGTATCTGCCGGTGCGGTTAACAATGCAATTGGATATTGCCTGACACCAGGTCATGCTGTAGCCGCCTAACAGTGTGGTTACTGTGTGGGCAACAGCTTCTCTCTATAAACAGATTCACGTATCATTGTTCACACTGTGTGACCACCAACTCCGGATACAAAGGGCAACCAATCCTACCCGCGCCGCCCAGTGAGAGAGTGAGTGTGAGTGAGTGAGGTTGGGTTGTTTGGTTGGTTGGGCTGGTGGGCTGGTTGGTTGGTTGGGCTGGTTGGGTTGGTTGGGTTGGGTTGGTTGGTTGTTTGGGTTGGTTGGTTGTTTGGGTTGGTTGTTTGGGTTGGTTGGTTGTTTGGGTTGGTTGGTTGTTTGGGTTGGTTAGTTGGGTTGGTTGTTTGGGTTGGTTGTTTGGGTTGGTTGGGTTGGTTGGTTGGGTGGTTGGTTGGGTGGTTGGTTGGGTGGTTGGTTGGTTGGGTGGTTTGGTTGGTTGGTTGGTTGGTTGGGTTGGTTGGTTGGGTTGGTTGGTTGGTTGTTTGGGTTGGTTGGTTGTTTGGGTTGGTTGGTTGTTTGGGTTGGTTGGGTGGTTTGGTTGGTTGGATGGTTGGGTTGGTTGGGTGGTTGGGTTGGTTGGGTGGTTTGGTTGGTTGGGTGGTTGGGTTGGTTGGTTGGGTGGTTGGGTTGCTTGGTTGGGTGGTTGGGTTGTTTGGGTTGGTTGTTTGGGTTGGTTGTTTGGGTTGGTTGTTTGGGTTGGTTGGTTGGGTGGTTGGGTGGTTGGGTTGTTTGGGTTGGTGGGTTGGGTGGGTTGGTTGGTTGTTTGGGTTGGTTGTTTGGGTTGGTTGTTTGGGTTGGGTGGTTGGGTTGGTTGGTGGGTTGGGTTGTTTGGGTTGGTGGGTTGGTTGGGTGGGTTGGTTGGTTGTTTGGGTTGGTTGGTGGGTTGGTTGGGTGGGTTGGTTGGGTGGGTTGGTTGGTTGGGTGGGTTGGGTGGTTGGTTGGTTGGGTTGGTTGGTTGGGTTGGTTGGTTGGGTTGGGTGGTTGGTTGGTTGGTTGGGTTGGTTGGTTGGTTGGGTTGATTGGTTGGTTGGGTTGGTTGTTTTGGTTGGTTGGTTATTATTTGTGGAGTCCTGTAGCTCAGTGGTTGAGCACTCGCTTTGCAAGCTAGAGACCTGAGTTCAATTCCAGGCAGAGGGCGAAACCTTGGGTTGGTCATTTTCGATCTACAACTGTTTGTGGGACATTGCTGTGCGCAATTGGCTGCCGCGTTCACCCACAAATATACAGTCAATTCACTTTACAGTGTGTTCTGTGAAGCGCTTTGGGACGTCCTCCCGACGTGAAAAGCGCTATATCAAATGCGAGGATTATTATTATTATTATTACAGTATCTGCTTCTTGGTACAGATGCTATTGTATCAGATTCCTGTCAGTCAGAGGCGGGGGCGTGGCTTCCACTGGCGACGTCACGGTGGGGGGCGTGGCGGGGGCCGCGGAGGATGCTGGGAGTGAGTGAGTCCGATGGCGGGAGCGGCGGCGGTTTGAAGTTTATTTTGCGGTGAAGAGGCCGAGGATGGACACGGACGGCGGGGAGGTAGGCGCCAGCCGCCGGTTCTTAATCTCCGGATTCCGACACCAACATAAATTTACCATAAATACACCACGAATTAGTTTTTTTACATATAGTTTCACTTTTCCCCGCTCCATCACCTCAACACCGATTGGTTACTGTCTCCCGGCAATCGCTTAATGCGAGTGCGTATCGAACGGTTCGGCCATCTTGGTATAGGAGAGGAAACAGGCCCCGGCCGCCATCTTGGTATAGGAGAGGAAACAGGCCCCGGCCGCCATCTTGGTATAGGAGAGGAAACAGGCCCCGGCAGCCATCTTGGTATGGGAGAGGAAGCAGAGCGATAATATTAATAATAATCCTTGCATTTGATATAGCGCTTTTCACGTCGGGAGGACGTCCCAAAGCGCTTCACAGAACACACTGTGTTCAATTCAAGTGAATTGACTGTATATCTGTGGGAGAACGCGGCAGCCAATTGCGCACAGCAATGTCCCACAAACAGTCGTAGATTGGAAATGACCAATTTATTATTGTTTTTTTTTGGAGGATTATTATTAGGCTCTGTGTGGAGTAAGGAAACTTGCCCAAGGTTTCGCCCTCTGCCTGGAATTGAACTCAGGTCTCTCACTTACAAAGCGAGTGCTCTAACCACTGAGCTACAGGACTCCACGATGTTGCTATCTTGATACAGGAGGGAACAACAACAACAAAATGACATTTATAGAGACGCCTTTCACTTTGGCAAAGCGCTGACACAAAGGTGTCGGGGCCCGAGCATGAGGGAGGGGTGGGGTAGGGGTGAGGGAAGGCAGAGGGGTGGGAGGGAGACCAAAGGCACGATCGAAGAGAAGGGTCTTGAGACCAACCTTGAAGGAGGCGAGGGAGGAAGCGAGGGGAAGGGACCGTGGGATGGAGTTCCAGAGTGTGGGGGCAGAGAGGCTGAAAGCCCGGTCACTGATGGTAGGTCGGGCGGGAGACATAGAGCAGCCGGAGCCCGATGAATGGAGGGAGTGGGCAGGTTGGTAGGGAGTCAGGAGGTCAGAGAGATAGGAGGGGGCGAGGCCATGGATGGCCTTAAAGGTGAGGACGAGGATCTTGAACTCTGGTGGAGGGGGAGCCAATGGAGTCGGGCGAGGGTGGGAGTGATGGGGTCACGGGGCCTGGTGTGTGAGAGTACACGAGCTGCAGAGCTTTGGATGATCTGCAGCTTGTGAAGGGAAGCGTTTGGAAGTGGAGGGATGTTGCCTCTTGGTATAGGAGAAGACGCGAGGTCAGGTCACGCATCATCTTGGTATAAGTTGTCCCAAATCCCTTCACAGGATTTTACAATAAAATGTATTGATTGTGTATTTGTGGGTGAAATGTGGCAGCCAATTGTACACAGTAATGTCTCACAAACAGACAAGTAGTAAGTGACTAATTTTATTTGGGGGATTGTCAGCCAGGACGACAACAACAATTATATAGTGCCCTTCACACAGCATAATGTCCCAGAGCGCTTGACAGTGGCCAAGCCTGGGAAAGCGGAGTTCCCTTCTCTTTTCCAATAGTGCCAATGGGATCTTTAACATCCACCTGAACAGGACACAGGCGGGAGCTCAGTTTAATCCAAAGGACAATGCCTCCGACAATGCAGCAGCCCCCTCCCCAGCACTGCATTGGAGTGTCAGCTTAGACTGAGATTCCATGTCCCGACGTAGGGTTTGAACGCACGGCCTTATATCAGAGTCGAGAGCATTACCACTGAGCTCGGCTGTCAGCAGCAGCATGTGCACAATGCACAGGAAATAACATCACCAGTGACTTGATGATCTGATCAGTGCCGGAAGCTTCTGGTTAGAGCGGTCCCCAGCAGGTTCCCCTGTGCTCCCTCTTATTTCCCCTTTAATGGGAGTGTGGTGTGTTAATGGGCTGTTTAAGATTTCAATGACCTGTTTCTGGTGTAACCCAGATTCACGGGCTCCACATTGGAGAGTGAGACCAGTTTGTCCAACGCAGAGAGTATTTGCAAGATTTCATACAGATCTCCAGCCTGGGTATAAAACAAAGTAAGAACTTTTATAACACTTGGATTACCGACAGTGGGAAAGTTGACGTTAAATATCTGCCCCCAAAGCTTTGTTTTGTTGTATACTTGAAATGATTTTTATTTTGTCTGTTTCTCGTACATTCCTCTGTCCAGCTAACTCAGTCTTGCTGTGTGTCACCCACTAATAATAATCCTTGCATTTGAATAGCCAAATAGCTGCTGTATCGCAATATTTGTTTTATATAAAAATGATAATAATAATAGTATTTGATGTAGACATTTCAAAGAGCTTAGTGTTTGTGTATTTTGTGGGCATAACGTGGCAGCCAATTGTGCACAGCAGTGTCCCTCAAACAGCCATGGAGTAAGTGACCAATTTTATTTGGGGGATTGTTGTCCAGGATAGTGGGAGAGTGAAACTTCCTTCTCTATTCGAACAGTGCTGAGTCCTGTAGCTCAGTGGTTAGAGCACTCGCTTTGCAAGCGAGACACCAGGGTTCAATTCCAGGCAGAGGGTGAAACCTTGGGCAAGTTTCCTTACTCCACACAGAGCCTAATAATAATCCCTCCAAAACCAAACAATAATAAATTGGTCATTTTCAATCTACGACTGTTTGTGGGACATTGCTGTGCGCAATTGGCTGCCGCGTTCGCCCACAAATATACGGTCAATTCACTTTACAGTGAAGCGCTTTGAGACGTCGAGAAGACGTGAAAAGCGCTGTATCAAATGCAAGGATTATTATATTATTATAACATTCACCAGAACAGGCAGATGGGATCTCGGTTTAATGTCTCATCCAAAGGATGGTTTGACAGATTTAATGGTTGATGGAGTGTTTTTGGGTGGGAAGAAAATTTTACAAACCTGCCTCCTCCCTCGCCTGAAAAATTTCAAAAGATTGCTTTGGATGAAACAATCTTGTCAAACTTCGGCTAATCTGCTCTTATCTTTCCAGGACACCCACCCTGCTGTCTTCAAATTGCAGCGTGGAGCAATTTCTGCTACAGAAGGCGGTGGCTAGGGCTGGGGTGGGTTGCGATAGTGGTGGTGAGGGGGGGGGGACAGGCTGTGGCTAATGATGTGTATTCTGGCGGTAGGTGTACATGTCGCTGTCAGACCTGTTTGTGGACGAGCAGGTGCCGTTCTATGAAGTGAATGCCTGGACCACGGACGTGCTGCGCCGCCTGATGGAGATAAACAGGGAACGTGACAACCACGGCCGCCAACTGCTCGAGGATGTGCGGCAGAAAACAAAAGAGTATCAGGCCGAAGGTCAGTGCCAGGCTGGAGGTTAATGCCACCCCGCACAGAGCAACCCGCTCAGAGAGTCTGCAGCTCAGGCACTGATGGTGTGTGAGTGTGTTATGCTCTGATTATTTGGGGATACGGTATATGGTTCGGGATATGTAGCTTCGTAATCGAATGCCAGGATGGTGGAAGGTGAACTGGATGGACCTTGGTCTTCTTTTGCCTGGCAGTTCTAATGTGTGGGCGGTTGTGCGTGGCATGGCTGGCGGGTGGGGTATGAGTGCCTGAGTTGAGGGGTTGGGCTGAGGGGTATGTGAGGGGCGAAGGGGTTGAACTGTGAAGTGGGGTACCTGCGGTGTAAGCTGACTGTGACCTGTTGCAGCCAGCCACATGCAGGAGGTGCTGGAGGAGAGCCTGGGGCTGACCACAAACAGCCTGTCCAGCAGCGGCTCCAGCCTCCTCAACAGCCTGGTGGACTGCAGCCTGGCCCTCGATCTGAAGGACACCTCCCGAACCAGGTAACCTCCCCTCCCTCTTCCCCAAATCAGGTACCCTCACCTCCCCCAAATCAGGTACCCTCACCTCCCCCAAATCAGGTACCCTCACCTCCCCCAAATCAGGTACCCTCACCTCCCCCAAATCAGGTACCCTCACCTCCCCCAAATCAGGTACCCTCACCTCCCCCAAATCAGGTATCCTCACCTCCCCCAAATCAGGTATCTCCCCCTCCCCCAAATCAGGTATCTCCCCCTCCCCCAAATCAGGTATCTCCCCCTCCCCCAAATCAGGTATCTCCCCCTCTCCCAAATCAGGTATCTCCCCCTCCCCCAAATCAGGTATCTCCCCTCTCCCAAATCAGGTATCTCCCCCTCCCCCAAATCAGGTATCTCCCCCTCTCCCAAATCAGGTACCCTCACCTCCCCCTCCCCCAAATCAGGTATCTTCACTCCCCCTCCCCCAAGCCAGGTACCGTCGACCCCCCCCTCTCTTCCCATCCCCCGAACCAGGTACCCTCCCCCCTTCTACACCCCCCAACCCCAGCTCCGAACCAAGTATGCCCTCCCTGCCCCAGCACCCCAGTGGCCAGGGCAGGATTAGGACTGCTATTCCCCCTTGTGGTTGCCGATGCTCTCTGCTAGGATTTTTCAGATTGCTGACATTTTATCACAGCCCTGGGGGAGCGCTGCTTTATCAGAGGTGCCGTGCTTTGGATGAGATGTTAAACCGAGTCCCATCTGCCGTTAAAGAAGGATGTTAAAGACATCCCAGTGTCCTGGCCAACAATCCCCCACCCCCCAGATAAAATCAGTCACTCACATCCTGGCTGTTTGTGGGATATTGCTTTGTACAAATAGGCTCAACTACAAAAATACAAAGTCACTACGCTTCACAGTAGATCCTGTGAAGCACTTTGAGACTTCTTGGTGATGTGATGAGGTGCTATATCAAATGTATAGATTATTACAATGCAGATTTACATTTACACTTTGGGAGGACATCGCCTACAAAATATACACTCAAGGGATAGGGCATGTAATTAGAGTTAGGTCTGAAGATCAGCCATGATCTTATCGAAGATAAGGGGCAGGCTCGAGGGGCCGAATGGCCTACTCCTGCTCCTAATTCTTATGTTCTTAATTCACTTTAATATATTCTGTAAAGCGCTTTGAGAAGTCTCAATGACATGATAAAGGGCTATTCACTCGGATTTCCGTCCCGCCCACAGCACAGAAACCGCTCTGGTCAAAGTGACAAATGACATTCTGTTCATCTGCGACCAGAGCTCCCTCTGCCTCCTCGTTCTCCTTGATACCTCTGCTGCCTTCGATACAGTTGACCACTCTATCAACCTTCATGAAATGGTTCAACAACAACAAAGTTACATTTGTATATTGCCTTCCATGTTGGGAGCACGTCCCAAGGCGCTGAACGGTCAGTGTTTTGGACCCGAGCTGGGAGTCGCGATTCGTTCAGATTGTACCTCTCACACCGTTTCCGCTTCATCTCCGCAAACAGTTTTTTCTTCTCTAAGCCCTGCACCATCTCGTGTGGTGTTCCTCAGGGCTCTGTCCTTGGTCCCCTCCTTTTTAATATCTATATGCTCCCTCTTGGTGACATCATCCGCAGACAAGGGGTCAACTTCCACATATGTGCGGATGACACCCAACTCTATCTCTCTCTCTCCCTCCACCCTTGACTCCAGGACCCACTGCTTTCCAGATAGAATGTCTGTCAGACGTCATGTACTGGATGAACTTCCTACAGTTAATAATAATAATAATCCTTGCATCTGATATACCGCTTTTTACGTCGGGAGGATGTCCCAAAGCGCTTCACAGAACACACTGTAAAGTGAATTGACTGTATATTTGTGGGTGAACGCGGCAGCCAATTGCGTACAGCAATGTCCCACAAACAGTTGTAGATTGAAAATGACCAATTTATTATTGTTTTTGGTTTTGGAGGGATTATTATTAGGCTCTGTGTGGAGTAAGGAAACTTGCCCAAGGTTTCGCCCTCTGCCTGGAATTGAACTCAGGTCTCTCGCTTGCAAAGCGAGTGCTCTAACCACTGAGCTACAGGACTACACGCCTGTAGCTCCAGTTGAGTGTCAACAAGACCAAGGCTCTCCTGATTGTCTCCCATCCACACATTAGGCGCTGACAGCATCACCATCCAAGGATGGGCACTCCACCTTGCTAACCCAGTCCGGAACCTTGGCATCTTACTTGACCCTCAACTATCCTTTCTACCCCACACCTCACAGGCTGCCGAAACCCTCATACATTCATAACATCCATGCTTAACTGTGAAAACTCCATGCTTGTTGGCCTCCGCAATTGTCCCTCCAAAACGTTCAGAACTCTGCAGCCTGAGTCCTCTCCCGCGCCAGACCCTGTAACCCTATCACCATCCTCGCCCGACTCCACTGGATTCCCATCACGCAGAGGATACAGTTCAAAAGATCCTGGTCCTCGCCTTCAAAGCCCTCCACGGCCTCGCTCCCCCCTACCTCTGTGACCTAACTCCCTACCGACTTGCCCAGTCCCGCCGTCTAGCGGGCTCTGGCCTGCTTCATATTCCTACCATTGGCGGGCGGTCAGACCTTCAGCCACACTCTGGAACTCTATCCCTCAGACCCTCCACCTCACCCCCCCCCTCTCTTGCCTCCTTCAAAACCCATCTCAAGACCTTCCTCTTCAATCCTGCTTTCGATCTCCCTACTTCCCCCTGCACTGCATCCTCCAATCCCAACCCCCAGCTCGGTTCCGAAACACTGATTGTCCAGTGCCTTGGGACATCCTCCCAATGTGAATTGTAATACAAATACAATACAAAGGTGCTGTACAAATGTAATTCTGTTACATTTGTACAGCACATTCTGTATATCAAATAGAAGGAATACATTGACTGTCCGGGCCACAGCACTGAAAAGCACTTATTAACTTGGACAGTGGTGTAAGGAAAACGGATTGGGAATATTTTCAGTTGAGGTGGGAGAAGTTGAGGTCGTAATCAACCATGTTATCCCTGTCTTTCCTCCCACTCTCTAGCTTTGTGTTGGCGATAAACAGTTTGACGTCTGAGTTGACGGCGGCTGAGAGCCGAGCCCAGGAGCTGGAGGTCAAGGCGTTGTCAAAGAAACTGACGGACAAGATGGTCCTGGAGCAGTTGCTGGAGGAGTGAGTGCGGGGAGCCATGGTCACCGTGGCAATGTGCAGAGCAATGTGGGGGCAGTGTAGACGGTCGTGCCTATAGTACTAATGGCACCAAATGGCATTCGCCCCCGTGGTCGGAGCAATCCAGGGCAGGACTGGGGACACCATTAGCCACCAGGAGATCGCACACTTAATGATGAACATCCATTGGGGCATGCCGTGTCCATACATCTGCTTAAACACAGTGGAGCCTTTTCCCACTGGGAGCAGGGAATCCTCCCACTCAGTTCCCGTTAACCCTGCAAGCCAAAGCCCTGACGGGTAGGGTGGTCCTAGCTGAACAAGAAGCGGGAAAGCTGCCAGACAGCGCTCTCAATGGCCGAGCTATGCAGCCTTCGCTGGTTAGGCTCCAGCAGCATTTGATATAGCGCTTTTCACGTCCTCTAGACGTCTCAAAGCTTCACAGAATAGGCTGTGAAGTGAGTTGACCGTATGTTTGTGGGCGAAACGCGGCAGCCAGTTGCACACAGCAGTGCCCCACAAACAGGACGATCCCCTCCAGAGAGAGAATCTGCATTCCAACAATCTATTTCCATGTGTGGGGGGGATGCACAAGTTTGGGTTGGATACTTTTAAGCACGGTGACGGGTTTCCACGCAGCTGAACCCCCAGAAAATTCCTCACCCACCTGCGGGTATCTAGCTTTCTACTGCAGTTCCAGTGTTTGAATACACAGTCTCTGCAGTTGACAACCACTACCTGTGCGTCTCTTGGTGATATTTGTATGTTACAGGCGGTGCATCAAGTACAATGTTTGTTGTTATTGTTTATCTGCTGAATTGACCAGGTTCTCGCCACTAAATGGAGAGGTACCATAGCTTCCCAAGGACCTCTGGTGATGATTGGCTGGTACTGCAGCCACACGCACATCTCAATTTACTTTCATCGGGTGGTGGTTTCAAAGCTCTTCACACACTGGAGGGAGGAGCGGTGGCTGAAAGTGCAGTGGAAAAGATATAGAGTGATGAGTGTAGAGCGTAGGGGAAGCTTTATTTTGTCTCTAACCTATTCTGTCACTAACTTAGGAGTGCTGGGTGGACAGTGTAGAGGGAGTTTTGTCTTTTTTATGTGCTGTATCTGACCTGGGAGTGTGGATGGACAGTGTAGAGGGAGCTATATTGTGTCTTTAACCCTGACCTGGGAGTGTGGATGGATGGAGAAGGTCCACAGATGCTTCCCTTGAGATTTCACTGTAACGTTTGGTCTCTTGTTCAGAGATTTGAGGAATGTTGAGGAGGAACTTCCTGGGGCGATAGCCAAAGCTGAGAATAACAAACAAAACATGGATTTCTTTACCAAGAAGATGAAAGAATGGAAAAAACAGCAGAAGTTTTCTGAGGTGAGTTCCCACTTGCCTCGCCCGCAGTCAACTGGAGAAAGCGACTGAGCTAACATTGCGAGGGAGCTGGGGGACATCAGTAGAGACACAGTCGGAATGAGGGGGTAACTGCTGGAGCCTAACCAGCTAAAACACATAGCTTGCTGGTAAGTTTTCCGACTGTTTGTCCACTAAGCCACTGAGGCTTTGGCTTGCATGGTTACCAGGAGCTGAGCAGGAGGATTACTGCTCCCAGTGACTGGTCTGCCCTTCTAAATCCTACCGATGAGCCAAGCTGGCCTGGCAGTCACTAGCAATGATCTGGGTTACAAAACTGTATCTGGGAGGAGTGAGGGAGTTGGAGGAACATCAGTAAAGACTGGTTAGTGACACAGAGTGCTGGTCAGGAGGATTGACTGAACCTGGTGATGTGAGGGAACTAGAGTGAAGGGATGAACAAGAGACTGGATGCTGTTCTGAATTCTTTCTCTTATTGAAACTTTTCTCTTCAGCGTCAGCTACTGGAGGCTGGTTACCAGCCTGAGCTAGAGCACCATGCCCTGCTGGAACTCTCTGAGGTCAGTGAATAATAATAATAATCCTTATACTTGATATCACGTCGTTGAGATGACTCAAACCGCTTCACAGACTGTATTGTAAAGTGGATTGACTGTGTATTTTGTGGGAGAAACTCGGCAGCCAATTGCGCAGAGCAGTGTCCCACAAACAGTCGTGGATTGAGTGACCACTTTTTTTATTTCAATGGGGGGAAGATTATAACCCCCAGAAAGTGATCCGACAATCGACTAATGACCAGGTTCCCACTTACTGCTAAGTAAACACAGGCTATGGAGTAACGGAACTTGTCTAAGAACAAGTAACGAAACTTGCTCGGAAATCGAATCTGGGTCCTCTTGCTTACGAGGCGAGTGCACCAACCACTACACTATGGAACTCCATGAAAGCAGCCGTTCAGCACTCAGTGACCCTGCCAATTGCTGTCCGGGAGAGACTAGAATTTTTTTTAAAAAAATAGCATTATGAAAAAAGAACTTGCATCTTTATAAGTGCCTTGCCAAGTGCCTCACAAGAGTATTGACTGCACATTTGCTGTTCGGGTGGACATTAAAGATCCCATGCCACTAACGATAAGAGAAGGGAGTTTCTGTGTCGCACTCAGAATCTCCCTTTGCTTTTCTAATAGTCCCATAGGATCTTTAAAGTCCATCCGAACAAACATAAACAGGGGCCAGGTTTAAATCTCGGCCGAATGACAGCGCCTCTGATATCGGAGTGCTCCTCAGTAATACACTGGAGGGTCAGCCTGGACTGTGAGCTCAAAGTCTGAGCCAGAGACACGAATGAGCGAGTGAGCGACTGAGCCAGTAAGTGAATGAACGAGTGAGCCCGGCTGATTTACTGTGATGGTTTGTTTACAGAAGCTGACCAAGTTGAAAAAGGAAGTGGCTCCAATGAAGGCAAAACTGAACTCCTACCTGGACCTGGTGCCTGTATGTTCCTTGTTCCTGTTTGGGACCTTATTGGTGGGGGTCAGCGGAGGTGGAGGTGAAGGTGGTGATGGATGGGTGGGGGTGTAATTCCCTCCTCACTGTCCTCCCATCACAGGATCCAGCTGTTTTATTTTTACTTGGGTCCCAGTGTCCTGACCTTAACCCCTGGCAACCCTGGCAAACTTCCTGATGTCTGTCCTAAAATGACACTTTACAACTCTAACCCATGTCCTTTTGTTCCACGGTCTCAGTGCTTCTTAAAGTAATGTTCAGGGTTTACTTTCTCAATCCCATTTAAAATTTTATACAGCTCTTTCACAACAACAAAAACTTGGATTTATATAGCGCCCTCCACGCCGGACGGCGTCTCGGAGCTTTACAGTAATGGATCCTGGGGTCGAGCCGGGGGGAGGGGGAGGAAGGTGACCAAAGGCGCGGTCGAAAAGAAAGGTCTTCAGCAGAGACCTGAAAATGGGAAGGGAGGGAGTGAGACGAAGGTCTCCTCTGAGTTGCTTTTTGCAATTATCTCAAATCTTTTCGTTATCTCAAACGCCTCGATTACTTCACTACTCGACCTTTTAGATCCTGTCACTCTTCTACAAATCCCTTCATGCACCTCCCAACCTTTCCGACCTATAATATCCTCACTCCACTTCCGCTGCCTCCGCTCGGCTGGCTCTGGCCTTCTGTTTGTCCCTCTTCCCCTTTTGCTCCACCATCAACGACCAAACTTTCAGCCACTACAGCGTAAAGCTTTGGAACTCTCTCCCTCAATCCCTCCACCTTGCCCCCTCCTTCCCCTCTTTTAGATCACATCTGAATACCTCCCTCTTTGACTGTGATTATCGTCACCTCCTTTTTTCACCCCCCTCCCCCCCGCCCCCAGTTCGGCATCAGACTCCACCACTGTTAAGCACTGCGAGAAGCTGCCCCATGTGAAGGGTGTTGTGTAAATACAGTGAGGAGAGTCTGATCCTCTCGCTTCACGTGTTGGTGGCGGCTGTGAAAATGACTTCCTGTGTCTGCGATGTCTCTGCAGGACCCCATGTTGGCCAAAGTGAAGATTGAGGAAGCCAAGCTGGAGCTGGTAAGTGCTAACCCCAAATCCCAATGTTTAGCAATATCTATAGAGCTGAATGGGAGGGATGACAATCACTGAAGTCCAATAATATAATAATCTTTGCATTTGACATAGGGCTTTATCAGACGTCTCAAATCACATAATAATAATCCTTGCATTTTATATTACGCTTTTCATGTCTTCTATATATAAAATATATTGTAAAGTGGATTGACTGTATTTTGTGAGCGAAACGGCAACCAATTGGGCAGAGCGATGTCCTGCAAACATGACGAGAATGTACATTTTATTTAGAACATTTCACGCAAATGAACTTCCTAAAGTGTTTTACAGATTAAAATTGCACAGTGAGAAGTGAATGTTATACCGATGAACTCTGCAGCTGATCTGCCAGTGATAGCCCCGTAAATGGGTGGCGATCAATTTGAATTTGGATTAAGAGAGGAATGTGAGCAACAACTTACGGGGGGTGGGGTGCAGGGGGTAAAGATAACCGGAAGTTCGGTCAAAGAGGCCAGAATTGAAGTGGGAAGTGAAAGTGGGAGGGACCCAGGAATTAGGAGTGTGGAGTAAGGAAACTTGCCCAAGGTTTCTCCCTGCCTGGAATTGAACACAGGTGTCTCGCTCACAAGGCGAATGCTCTAACCACTGAGCTACAGGACTCCCAAGTAGAGTTAGAGTGATAAGTAGAGTAGAGGCCCTTATAAAGTGATTGACAGCCTCTCTCCCCCTCTTTTTTCCACCCTGTTCCCCATCCATCTTTCTCTCTCTCTCTCTCTCTCTCTCCCACAGAGGAAGCTGGAGGAGCTGATCTCCCAGAGGATGGAGAGTCTGGCCTTCGTGTCCTAGATGAAGGCAATGGAGAGCTCAGTACCCGGTTACCGTGGCTTCTCAGCTGTTGTCTCATCAGGAAGGATTCTGCTCCAAGCTGGGTGACTGGACCATTGTACCTCCTCTCCCTCGTTCCCCCCCCCACACACACACACACACACACAGGCCGAGATTGATGTCAGACACTTGGTGTGTAATTCTCTCTCTGACACTCTCGATGGAATGCACTGTGATTAAATGGCCTGTCTTACTGTGTTACTTGACAAGTCGATATTATTCTTTCTGAAATTGTCAAGTAGACACTGGTACACACAGGATTCTGTCTGTCGCATTCATGGGTGAAGTAAATAGCTTCAATGTACAGTACTTAGCAGAAAACTTGCTGTGTATGCGAGTGAGGGGGTAGTGGGGGCTTGTGTGGAGTATAAACACCAAAGTGGCCTGGTATCACTCTCTAACTCTACTTATCACTAACTCTCTAACTCTACTTGGAGTCCTGTAGCTCAGTGGTTAGAGCACTCGCCTTGCAAGCGAGACACCTGGGTTCAATTCCAGGCAGGGAAACCTTGGGCAAGTTTCCTGACTCCACACACCTGATAATAATCCCTCCAAAACAAAACAATGATAAATTGGTCACTTCAATCCACGACTGTTTGTGGGACACTGCTGTGTGCAATTGGCTGCTGCGTTTCGCCCACAAATATACAGTCAATTCACTTTTGAGTCTATTCTGTGAAGCGCTTTGAGACATCTAGAAGACATGAAAAGCGCTATATCAAATGCAAGGATTATTATTATCACAGCCCGGTCCTGTCTGCACCTGTGCAGCTTCAACGAGGTTCAGGATAATTGGAATCCTGGTTGATATTTTTTCCTCTCTCTTACCCCCACCCCCCTCCATCACCCCAATCCTCACCAGGCTCCGCTGTCTCCTAACGGATCAATTTCAGTGTTCTCACCCTCGTCTACAGACCCTCCACTCGCCAGCATCTCTCTATCTCTGATCTTCTCCCATCCAACCCCACCCCGTCTGCTCGCTTGCTCCCCTCAGCTACCTTGAGCTTTACTGCCATTTTCTGCCCCGCTTCACCCCACCAACAGTGGCTGAGCTTTCAAGAACTCCCTGAATTTTGCGCCCCCCCCCCCCCCCCCTTCCGTTTGTCTTCATAGCCTTTAAACCTAAACCTTCAGACCTATTGTCCCCTGTTGTCTGACTCTGGGCTCCTGCTTGTTCCTCACTGTGCTCACTTCCCTAACCCCATCAGTGGTCAAGGACTCAGCTGTTATACCTCATGCTTTGGAACTCGCTCAAAATCTGTCTCTGTTTTGCGCTTTCAGATTTCAAAACCATTTTTATCACTCATCTCTCTGACTGTGTCTTTAGTCAACAACCTCAGCCTTCCCCTCGCCTCCCTCCTGACCATCCCCTGGAGTTCTGTAGCTCAGTGGTTAGAGCACTCGCCTCGCGAGCCAGAAAGCTGGGTTCTATTCCCAGCAGGGCGACACATTGGGCACGTTTCCTTACTCCACACGCTTCTGTTTATTCAGCAGTAAGTAGGAACTCGGTTGTTAGTCGATTGGCGGATCACTTTTCCGGGGATAATAATCCCTCAAAAAAAAATTTGGTCACTCAATCCATGATTGCTTATGGGATATTTCTGCGCGCAATCGGCTGCCGTGTTTCGCCCACAAATATAGAATCAATTCACTTTTCAGTATATCCTATGAAGTGCTTTGAGACGTCTAGAAGATGTGAAAAGCACTGTAACAAATGCAAGGATTATTATTATTATCCCCTGTCTCCTCCTCATGAAGCGTTTCAAGATGTTCATTCTACTATGAAAAATGCTGTGTAAACACAATCTTTTAAGTTTTTTGGTTGAAACTAGACCTGTTGCTGTCTTAACACGGGAATGAATAATCTAGTGATCTGTAACCCTACCACCTCGTCTCATGATCCCACTAATACAGTGCTTCTGAAATCCAATCAGCCTCAGCCCAGTTTCCCAACAAAATGTTATTCGCTTCTGTAATTTATTTGGAATAAAATAACTTTTTTTTGGCTCCCTTAAAATTGTAGAAATTACAGGATGTCTTTTGGCCCTGTTGATGGTTCTCCTGTTCTTGTTCATTGCTGTTTCACATTGCTTCACATTTGGCCCACCTTGCTGCTTTCACACTCTTCCTTTGCTCCAAACTTCCTGCTGCTTATCCAAGTAGGCGCTCCCCATCTGCTCGAGCTTTTGCTTGCGGAAGCTGAGTGGGAAGAATCTCTGCCCCCAGTGAACAGTCTACTCCTCTAAAGCCTACTGATGGGCTAGGCTGTCATCAGTAGTCCCTGGACTACTAGGGATCTGCCCGTCTCTGGAACCGAGACTGCCCCAGAGGGTGGACTCAATTCTGACATTTCTGTTGCCAAGAGCATTACCTTGGAGCCAGTTCAGCCCTGAGGTGACCCCACTTATTAACCCCCAACTCTCCCCAGCATCACATTTTCTAAAATGGTAACTAAGAGCTCTCACCAGGTGAGTCAGAGGGTTATGGGTTGAAGGGACTTTGGGCTGTAGTGGAATTTGAGTATTGGAGATGCCATCTGTTGGTTCTGTCCGTCTCTTCCGGACGTAAAAGTCCAGCGAGACTATTAGAAAAATAAATTTCTCCCAGTGTTCTGGCCAACAATCTTCCAGAATTTTGTATGGTATGATTTAATTATTTCAGTCGCGTCGGCCCGGCTTAGCACTCGCGCCTCTTGAGTCAGAAGGTTACGAGTTCAAGGCTGACGCCGGTGCTTGGAACCCATTAGCCTACGCTGACGCTCCAAGGCGGGGCCGGGAGAGCCCTGTGTGGTCAGAGGTGCCGTCCGCGCGACGAGACGTTTAAACCGAGGTCCCGCTCAGGCGGGAGTCGAGGATCCTGCGGCACGACTGTGGAAGAGAGAGAAGTCCGGAGAAAATGGCTCGTCCGCCCCATCACGGCGGCGGATGGCCGGGCCGTCGCTGTGCGGAAATTCGGCCGCGGCGCCTGCCCCGCAAAACACACAGTCACTTCACGGAGGTCCGGGGGGGGGGGGGGGGGGTGAAGCGCTTTGAGACGTCTGGATGGCGTCTCGACGTGAGGGAGGGAGTGAGGGTGGGGGAGGAGGGTGAGGAGGGAGTGAGGGTGGGGAGGGAGGGAGGGAGTGAGGTGGGGAGGGAGGGAGTGAGGAGGGAGAGTGAGTGAGGGGGGAGGGAGTGAGGGTGGGAGGGAGAGAGGGAGGGAGGGTGGGATGTGGGGAGGGAGTGAGAGGGAGGGAGGGAGTGTGGAGAGGGAGGGAGGGAGTGTGGAGAGGGAGGGAGGGAGTGTGGAGAGGGAGGGAGTGAGGGTGAGGAGGGAGGGAGTGAGGGTGGGGAGTCAGGCGGTGGATGGGGATGGCTGGGTGTCATGGCGACAGATAGGCCCGGCGTCTCCATGGTAACGCGGGGGTGGGGGGGGGGAGGAGGCGGCGGAGGAGGGGAGAGGGGGAGGAGTCTCGGAGGTCGCGCGCGGGCCGCCGGCTTCCGGTGACCAACAAAGCAGCCGGGTTGGGCGGGCTTCACGCCCAATTGGGCGGGTTTTTGAAAAAAAAATCAATTGAAACCCCCGCAAAACTTTTTTTTTGCGCGTGCGCGCGGTTTCCTCCCCCCCCACACACACTTTTTTTTGCAGCCTTTTTGTCTTCACGCGGTCTCAAGAGCAGCCCTGACCCCCCCCGGTCGTTTTGTTTGAAAGGCAGCCGCCGCTGTTTATAATTAACAACACCCACATTGGGCTACTTCGGGGCTCGGGTTCGAGCGGCTTTGGGCTACCCCGCGGTGGCGGGTGGGGCGGGTATAAAAGGCGAGCGGCCGGCGCCGCGGCCGCCATTTGCAGGAGGCGCAGCGACAACAGGGGCCGGAGCCCGGGAGCTGCGAGTCACACACACACACACACACACGGCATGGCGCGGCGGGCGCCCCGGCGCTCTCCCTCCCTCCCTGTCCAGTCCCAGTCCCCGCTGCCGAGCACTCGAGGCCGAGGAGTGAGTGTGTGAGCGAGAGGCCTTCCCCCCAACACCCGCCCGAGGCCGGGCCCCCATGTCACCCGGCAGCAGCCGCCGCCATCTTACAGCCTCACAGCCGCCGCTTCTCCCCCCCCCATCGTCTCCCCGCCGACACCGGCCTCCGCCCTCAGCAGCTTTTTAGCCCTCACTAATCAGTGATTCACCGGGAAAAAAAAAAGCCCGTCCACTCCTCCTCTCCTCCCCTGGGGGGTGGGGGGGTTTTTGCTCCCTCCCCCGCCGCCTCCCTTCCGATTGCCGTGAGATCAGTTTGTGTTATTTGGACCCCTCCCCTCCCCGTCAATTTTTTTTTAAATATCTACTAAACAACCGGTTATTTTACCGCCCCCCCTCCCCCGGGTTTTGCTTTCGAGAGCGAAACATTATCGCCCTTCTTTTTTTTTCTGTCTCTCTTGTCTCGCTGTCTGCTCCTGATTTGTGACAAGTTCCCTCTCCCCCCACACACACACCCCCCACCCCCCCCCACGACCCCCTTATTTCCCCCCTTCTCGTCACCTCCACCATCGCTCTGCGCTCCCAGTGCTTAACGGGGACTGTTCCAGTCCGGTCTCAGGCTCTTCTGCTGCTGCTCTTCACATCTTCCGGATCAACTGTGTCCCCGTCAGAGAGGGGGTTGCGATTTGTGGGGGGAGACAAGGGGGGGAAGAGCAGAGCTTCGGAAGGTAAGGAACCCTGGGGGTGGATGAAGAAGTGTGGCCATCGGTGTTTGGTTGTGTGTGTGTGTGTGTGGAGTGGGAGGAAGAGACTGGGCAAGAGGTGCGCAAGAAGGACAAGTAGGATTTAGAATGGAAGGGGTAATCGAGATGGATGTGGGCAACGGAGACTGGGGACTGCTGAGATGGGTAAGCCAAGCTCCCAGGACCGCTCAAGAAAAAGGCAAGCTTCTAACCTCGAGATGCTGAGATGTTAGGGTGGTGGTGGTGGGGCGGCACTTGACCGGCTAATGGGACAGTCCAGGAGATGAGGGGTCCCGGTGGAAGTGCGAGTCAGTAGAGAAGTGAGAGTCAGTAAAGGATTGAGAAGTGAAACAGGTGTGTAGATATTGGTGACAGATAAAGCGAAGCCTCGGCTTGGCCTTGGTTTGACGATCTGCCAGTAAAGTTAAATGAGGTGTTTTTTAGTGTGGGAGGGGGAGAGAGGAGGAAAAGTGAGCACGCTTTGATAGCGGAAATAACCAGTGTGAGAATAATACTAATCCTTGCATTTGATACAGCGTCTTGTCACGTCTTTGAGACGTCTCAAAGCGCTTCACAGAATATACTGTAAAGTAAATTGACTGTATGTTTTGTGGGTGAAACACAGCAAACAATTGCACACAGCAGTCATGGATTGAGCGACCAAATTATAATTTTTTGAAGGGATTATTACCCCCGGAAAAGCGATTCACCAATTGACTAACAATCAGGTTCCTACTTATTGCTAGGTAAACAAGAGACATGTGGAATAAAGAAGTTTGCCTAATGTTTTGCCCTGGCCGGGAATCGAACAAGAGAAGCTGTTGGGATAATATCAATAATCTTTGCATTTGATAGAGCGCTTTATCACATCATTGAGACGTCTCAAAGGGCTTCACAGGATATAGTGTGGCGGGTAAAGAATGGTCGAGTCTTGCTTGGGAGGGGAGCAACAGAGAATGTGGGAAAACAAACTCTGAGAGGTGAGAGCAAAGGTATGGGATCGTCAACAAAATTGGGAGTAATTGGGAGTGGAGAGTGGAAAAGGGCCTGAGGAGAGCAAGTTAGGTTTGAGTTTGAAAGGTAAAAGCGTTGAGGCCTTACTGAGTGAGCATGCAGTAAATTGGTGGCAGGCCCACTGGTGGAGCAAATTGGACAGTGGTGAAATTATGTAAAGCATGTTGTGTTACAGCTTGCTTCGTTTATATTCACAGATTCTTTCTATTTTAAAATTCAAGCCCTGGGTTTGAGGAGGGAGGGGACAAGTCTGGTCCGCAGCAGGATTTATTGTTTATGATTTCAAGTGCCCTGGGACTCTACCCTGTGTGATGAGCGCTATATCAATACAAGTTGTTGTTAGTTTCGTGGAAAATCGAGACTGCGAAGGGAGGTGCTGAGGAGGAGAGGGACTGTGGAGGCTGTGTTGTCTTGTCTGGACTTGCTGTTTTTCTATCTTAACAAAAATCAGTGATGGAAGGTAAGGCAGAGCCTTTGTTTGGGTTCACGGGTTGTAAGTAATAATAATAAAAACCCAAGGATGATTTGCTGATTAAACAAGCTGGTGTTATGGTAACCTCCAGAAGCGAGTGCTGGGAAGGTTACAGTGTCACCGTGTCACGTGGGTGGCGTTTCATTGGCTTTGTGCACTTATTTGATGCTTAAGGATTACGTAATGCCGGCCACCCAAGCACACAGACAATTCAGCCGCAAACTCACCCCTTCAAAGCAACAGGCAAGGTGTGTGGGCTCAATGTCTTCATTTAAAAAAACACGCAGCACTGTGACCTTGAGACCTGAGGTGGTGTGGGAGAGTTTGTGATGTCAGCGGGTGTGAAAATAGCTGCAGCCTCCCCCTCCCTCCCTCTCTCTTTCCACAGTCAGTTGGCAGTCTGCAGCATAAATGTAATCTAGGTACAGTATTAACCGCAGGGCGCTACAGGGAAAGCAAGTGGTTCGTAGTAAAACCATGGCGACAACACATTGTCAGATTTTATACGTCCACCAGGCAAAGCATTGTTCCTGGAACTGGCCTGAGCCGTTTACAACGAGCACTATGCCCTCCACCCCTCCTGATCCCAATGCCCTGCTCGGGTCCAAATCCCTGACTGTCTTATCTCAATGGGACGCCCTCCTACGTGAAAGGCGCTATACAGTGTAATTTGTTGTGTTCAATCAGAGACCTCAGTTCACAGCCATTGCCTTAAACTTTCTTCCATCTAAAAGACCCAAAATGTTTAAATTGAAGCAGTGTTTAGCAAATATATTACCGGTAAAATAGTACTTGGGAATTGTTTTCTGACCTAAAGCAAGTTTCTGTAATTGAGGAGGTGTTCTGTTTTGTGTTGGGTGGACCGGCCAGGATCAAGCTGAGCCAGGCAACAGTGGGTCGTTCACACAGGCTGGGCCGAGGCAAAAAGTCACAAAGAAATAATCGACCTGCTATTGTTCTCCAGGCTGCTGAGCTTTCAGCTCACTGTGACTGGGAAGCAACTCGTACCTTCCCACTCACCGAGGCGTGTCAGCACTAGAGAATAAACGTGTATTTTTCTAACATCTCGTCCCATCAAGCATGTTAACAGCGAGCGAACGAGTGTAGTAACGGTTTGGGGAGGCAGGCAATTGCCATTTTGTACATAGCAAGATCCAACAGCGAGCCTTGAGGTGGACGGCCCATTAATTAGTTTGGTTTGCCTGTCAGTCCTGCGTATCTGGAACACATGAATTGTATTTGCAGAGGAACGATTTTCTAAAATTTTTCAATTAATTTAATTAAAGGAAGGGGATGAAATTAGAAAGATATTTAAAAACAGGCTATGCCCTACATGACAGCGCCTTGGGACGTCCTCCCGACGTGAAAGGCGCTCTATAAATGGAATCTTGTTGTTGTTGTTGTCAGTTTACGACCAGTGTTTTTCCAAGTCCTAAGCTTCTGACCTCGGTAATTGTTGTGCAGATGTGCTTTGCAGCAAGGAGAATGGGATGGAGTGTTTGAGAGAGGTTTGATCTGTGCTTGTACAGTGTCGGTATTAGCAGCTCCCTGGGAAAGGGAGGTGAAAAGAGTTAGTAGCAATAACTTTGACTCTTAAAGCATCTTTCAAGTAGGACAGCATAATAATAATGATCCTTGCATTTGACATAGCGCCTCATCACGTCTTCGAGACTCCTCAAAGCGCTTCACAGTATGTACTGCAAAGTGAATTGACTGTATATTTTGTGGGCTGAATAGATCACACAGGAGGAATGGTGTAGAGGAGATGACAAAAGGCGCAGTCAAAAGGGTTTTGAAAACAGGGAGAGTTTGAAGATGGAGGCATTTGGGGAGAGAATCCCAAAGAGCGTGAGCAATTAATTGTTCCAGCGGTGGAGGTGGTGTGCAGCAGGTCCGTGAAGTGGGAATGCTGCAGATTCCCATTACTAGGAGCAATATCCAGACTCCACTCCTTGCTGGAAAGGGGATATGTGTAGTTTGAGGGTAGAATAGGCGCCTGGCCACCATGGCTTGTCACAGTTGAATCGCCATCAAGGAGCAGGTGAGGGTGAGTTGGTGATAAAAACCCGGATTTGGATCCTGTCAGGAGAGAAGAAAGCAAAGAAAAACAGTGGGGAAAACATGAGAGAAAGATGGTGCTAATCGGATACATGTGCAATGATTGATTCTTGGCTTGCTTTGCAGACACTTTAAACTTGTTGAAATGTTCTTGAAGCTGGAGCCCATGTCTGACTAGGAATTGTGGCCACTTGGTTAGTCACTGCCTTTTAATTAGCAGCCCTGACAGCTAAAGTTGTCCAGGCAGATGGGGGAGGACAGCAAAATGTGCCTGTGAATCCGGAATGTTAATGGGGTTGGATAAGTGTGGCTAGCTATGTCTTGTACAGAACGTATCATTTTCACACCAACTGCAGCTTCACCCGCCCCCGTGAGAGTTGTTCCCGTGAGAATTGCAGTTTTTAGATTCTTTTGCAACACCTGCAGCAGTTTGCAACTTCCCGCCAGGTGATTGTTATCGTGGCATTGAGTCTCCAGAGCCACGTTTCAGGTTGTGCGGACTGCATCGTGGCTTGAAATAGTAATAATGCACAGGTACTGCACCAGTGTTCTGCAGTACTTGTTGATTCTCACCGCTTGGTCCTCCCTACTTCTGTGAGGCTCCAGCAACTACATCCCTTCTCTTTGGAACTCTCTCCCTGCCTCCAACGCTCTTTCAGAAACTTGTTCTTTGATCCAGTTTGATCAGCACTTGGTGATTCCCGTGAAGTGCTTTCAGATAGATGTTGACTTACCGGAAAGGTGCTGTCTACATACACGTTATAATGTGGGGAAACGTGCTGGCATTGTTCACAATTCTGCAGTTTACCATCAGCATTGATTGGAATCCATCGATAGTTAACGGACACCGCCAATCTTGTTAGAATCTTGTCTTGTCAGAAGCAATTCTTAACACATTCTACGACTGCCTGGCTGAAATCCACCAACTTAGCACAGAGCAGGGATTCAACCTGTGACTGAATCTGTGACTTTTTTGGGCGATTCAATTGGTTTTAGAGCGAGTCATTGTTTGAAGAGCTGAGTAATAATGTATGACTGTTTCTGACTCAACCTACAGTTGGAAGCTTGATACAAACACAGAAGTCGCTGGAAACACGCAGCAGGTCAGGCAGCATCCATGGAGAGAGGAAAATGATTAACATTTCAGGTCAATGACCATTCATCAGAACTGCAGTACTTTGCCCTTTGGAAGCTTGATATGCTGTCTGTATGTGAAGTTTCCACTGTAAAGTAGCACCAAGAAGTGACTGATTTTATTGAAGAGATTGTTGGCCAGGACACCGGGAGAAACACCCTCCTCTTTTCGAGTAGTGCCATAGGATCTTTAACATTCACTTGAACAGGACCTTGGTTTAATGTCTCATCCAAATGATGGCACATCTGCTGATTCCCCACCACCCCTACCTGCCTCTCACCCCATGGAATGTATGATTTTCCATATTTGCCTACAAATATGCAAACTCTACATTTGACAGAAATCCTTACGCAGCACACCAGATGTTTGACAAGAGAAATTTCCATTTTTCGAATTCTGTTGCGGGATGTTTAAACATCAACTCAACTATGCAGACGGGAACTCAGGTTAGGGATAGGGTGTGAAGGATAGACCCTAGGGTAGTGTAGCAAAATAGAAGGCTGTGAAACAACCACCTAAATGTTGTATTTTGTTTAATAGCCAAGGATATCAGTAATTATTTCGGTCTCGCAGTCAGTAACAATGGTGACCTTGAAACGGATTTAGAAGCTTAATCTAAGGATGCAAAGTTGATCAGTACAGCACATGTTGTCAGTTTTTATAGCTGTGTTTTCAGTACAGATGTAAGTTGTTTGAGGGCGGGGGATGTTCCTTAGTTTGGGGACTGATGACAAGCGAGCGATTGTTGGAAGAAATATCTTCACTCGGAAAATTGTGGGGATTTCATTACCACAGCTGCCTTTTTTTTGGCTTGATCAATAGAATCATTCAGAGGGGAACCGGATAAGCATCTGAGCTGTAAAATATTGCGGGTTATTGGAAAAGGGCTGGAAAATGGGCTTGATAATGAAGTGTGACAGGACAAGTAGCTGTGGTCAAATGGCAGCTTTCCCATTACTTTTTTTGCCACCGAGACACAATGTTATGCGGGCTTGTGATGTATTCAAGATCATAAAGGGTTTGGTTAAGATGAACCCCGGTGCGGTTTCATTTAGGCACAGTTTCTATGACAAGGAGGCATTGACTCAAGATACTAGAGAAGGTGAACAGACAGTTTTGGGTTGCACTGCTTCCCACAGAGCAGTGGATATGTAGAATGTATCAGGAAATTCAAGAGAAAATTATAGTACCTTTCACATCAGGTAAAGAGCTTTACAGGGCTAGTGAGAATCACCAAGCTAGTTGATAATAGTAATCCTTGCCCTTGATATAGAGCTTTCTCATGTCTTCAAGATATCTCAAAGCAGTTCACAGGATATACTGTAAACTATAGTGACTGTATATTTTGTTGGGGAAACGCGGCAGCCAATTTGCGCACAAATAAGAAGGTGACTGAAAGCGTGGTCTAAGGGGTTTGAAGGAGGCTGAGGGAGGTGTGATGATGGAGCTTGGATAATCGTATAGGGAGGGGTCCATTATAACTATTTGGTTAAGAATTTGAGTGGGTGGAGAGAGTGTAACTGTCCTCTGTTTCTTGTTGTGGTTTAAAGCTGCTCAGAGCTGGGCATTTTGTGCAGAAAGTTTCTGGATGACGTAACTCTAGCGTTGGATCGCAATGTCACAGAAAGGAGAGTGGGAATTAGACGCATAATGCCTGCTCCTGTGTACTGACTGAGGGCTTACAGCATTAGATAGACAAGCAACAGAAACACAGAGAGAGAAAGAGAGAGCTTGAAAACTGCGCAACAGAGTGCAATAATGCCCCCTTTAACATTGTCGTATTTCAGAATTCAGCTTTCCTTTCCCTGATTATGTGTATTAAATGGTTTCAGTTCACAGACCTTTAGTTATCTCTTGTTATCAGACGCAGATGTTTGTTAACTGGGAACTTGATTGTTTGCCTCCTGGTTGCTTGGTTGTTCAGTTCGTATAATAGAAAAAAATATTGGACTAGAGTATCCCAAATTGGAGGCAACTGTCACATTGTTCAAGTGGCCTCAAATTCTGTTTTTCTATGACTCTACTTGCCCTCACCTTCATGTAGGAGGATTCTGCTGTGACAATTACTTGGCTTCTCCCCACAACACCAAGCATTGACTGGGTGGTGTCATTAATGGCGATTTACGATAGTGTTGCAACTTGCATTTACGTAAGCGCCTCTTCAATTAGGAAACCTTGTGCAAAGACGGTGGAAGGGGAGTTTGCGGATTTTGACCAAAGGAATGGTCAGAGAGAGAGACAACAAAATTATATTTGTATAGCGTCTTTCACGTCGGGAGGACGTCCCAAGGGGCTGGACAGGCAGAGTTTCGGACCCGAGCTGGGGGTTGGGGTCAGGGAGGGTGGAGGGCAGGTGGGGGGGGGGAAAGCAGGGAGATCGAAAGCACGGCCGTAGAGGAGGGTCTTGAGATGGGTCTTGATGGTGGCAAGGGAGGGGATGAGGCGGAAGGACTGTGGGATGGTGTTCCAGAGGTGGGGGCAGAGTGGCAGAAGGCCCGCCTGCCAACAGAGAAGGGGGAATGAAGGCAGAGCAAGCAGGCACAAGGCAAGCGATTTGGGGAGAGAGTTCCTAAGAGTTGTGGCTTGAGCCTTGGCCACTGATGGTGGGATTGAAGCAGTAAGCAACGATCGGGAGACGAGTCACAGTAGTGTAGATTTACAGGTGATTGTGATCTGGTTAAATTACTGCGCACTTGAATGCAATCCTGTCCATCACTGAGTAAATGAATTCCCATTGTAGCATCTGCTCTGTGGAGTGGCTATGAGAGCAATGAACTACAGAAACTGTTAAGAGTTTCTTCATTAAAATGATCTAACCTTGTAGCGTAGGCTGATGATTCAGGGCTGTACTAGGAAGAGTTCTGCACTGTCAGAGATGTTAAACCGGGGAGACGTACACCCGTTTGGTTTAGGTTAGTTATTCACCTCAGGGATTCAGGGAACAACTTCTAGAATGTGTTGTAGCAAAGTAACTGAAGTCTGAGCCACCGACTCAGCGAAAGAAGAATGAGACAGAGAGTGGGCCAGAGATGAGGGTGGAGGTTGTGGGCAGGGGTATAGACACAATTTGATATGAATCCAAGTTTGACTGCTGGTTTTCTTCTCCCTTACAGTCGTAGGAGATATGATGAAATGCACTTTAACAATAATAATGCTTGCATTTGATATCATCTTATCGCATCACTGAGAGCACTCCAAAGAATATACTGTAAAGTGAATTGACGGTATATTTTATTGGTGAAACATGGTCAGTTGCGCACAAACAGTTGTGGATTGAGTGACCAAATTATTTTTTTAAGGGATTATTATCCCTAGAAAGTGATCCGTCAATCGACTAACAACTGGATGACTTGTTACTGCAAGGTGAACAGGGGCATGTAGAGGAAGGAAACTCACTTAACGTTTCGCCCAGCCCGAGAATTGAACCTGGGTCCTCTTGCTTGTGAGGCGAGTGCTCTGACCATTATGCTACAGGACTCCCAATATTCACAACTTCTGCTTTGACAACTTTCTGATTCACGATGACTCAATGTCCTGCAGCATTTCCAACGCCCTAGGAGGACTTGTTTGTAATTGCAGACAAACGCAAGGATGATGTTGGAAAATATGTTTTTTTAAGAAACTCTTTTGAGTGGGTGAGGACCAGGGCCTGAAGCAATCAGCACACAGCCTGAGTTCAGTGACCTGCTGGAAGGGCAGGGCTGGACACAGCAAAGAGTAGGATGGGTGGAGCACACTGCTGTTTCTGTTGCGAAATGCAGTCACCGAAAGCGTCCTGCTTTGTGTGCTTCACATTCCCGGAGATGTAATAATTAATCTTTCCTTCAGCAACTTAAAGAGCTTCACAATAATTGTTGTCAAGTGCAGTGACTATTTGTATGCAATCATTGTAGTTAATTTGCCCACAAGCTCCCATAAGTCCTGTAGCTCAGTGGTTAGTGCACTCGCTTTGCAAGTGAGAGACCTGAGTTCAATTCCAGGCAGAGGGCGAAACCTTGGGCAAGTTTCCTTACTCCACACAGAGCCTAATAATAATCCCTCCAAAACCAAACAATAATAAATTGGTCATTTTCAATCTACGACTGTTTGTGGGACATTGCTGTGCACAATTGGCTGCCGCGTTCGCCCACAAATATACAGTCTTTACAGTGTGTTTTGTGAAGCACTTTGGGACATCCTCCCGACGTGAAAAGCGCTATATCAAATGCAAGTATTATTATTATAAACAGCCATGAGAATGACTGACCTATGTGAAGTATTGTTGGTCAGTACACTAAGAGAAATATTCTTTTCTGTTCTTTTGTATAGTGATACAGGGTCTTTAACATTCATCTGAATTAGCGCACACAGTACCTTATGTCACTTATAGCTTATTCAGTACTACATTGAACTGATCTAGCACTGAAGTGTACTTTCTTCTACTTTTGAAGTGTACCAGATCACCTCCCGGCTCACTGAAAGAAGGAATGTGCAGTCTGTCTAGAAACACCTAGATAGAATTGTAGACCCTGCCCTACCCCCCGCATGATGATTTCCTGGTGCTGAGTAGGCAACATGTTAAATGAGGTGACTTGCTATGTATGAGCCAAACATTTCCATGTTCTAGCAGCAATGGAGAAATGTGCTGTGGGTAATCGTGACGTCAGATGAGTTTAATGGGCTCTGGTAAAAGGGAACAGATGCTCTACTTGTGTCAGATTTGCTGAGCTGACTGTAACCAACACTTCTGTTCTCTTCAGGTGCCCCTACTATCACCAGATCTAATTGAGCGCCGTGCCCAACCTCCCGCCTGCGTGCTCTATGACCTTTCAGAGGGAGCGACGCAGGACTCAGTGACATGAAGATGGAAGGAGCGGAGAAGACCGACTTCTCCTCCCAGGATGGCCTGGGAGAGGCTGAGGTTCCGGCCAAGGGTATTGAGGACACCAAGGCAGACTGTGCCGACAAGGACAATGTGGTGACTGTCCAGAAAGAGACTGTCCCAGCTAAGCAGGAGGAGCCCGAGCTGCCGCTGAAGCCAAGCGGGCAGTCGGGGGAGCCGTGCCTGTTGATGGAGCTCGGGCAGGACTCGGAGTCCCAGCCACCATCCGCCGACAGTGAAAAGCAGCAGCACGGTCGTACATATGATAGTGACTCTTCCAATCAGTGTATGGTGTCCCCCTCCTCCAGCGGCCACCTCGCGGACTCCGACACCCTCTCGTCTGTGGAGGAGAGCGAGACGGCCGGCACTGCACCGCCTGAGGACACCATAGGGATTGCTGGGAGCGGAGGAGGTGGGGGACCGCCGCCTGCCGGCAAGAAGTCTCGGCGGTCAAGGTCCGAGAGCGAGACTTCGGCCATGGCTCCCAAGAAGAACCGCTCGTGCCCCGGGGACAAACCAAATGGCCGGGTGTCCAAGGCCCGCACGCAGAAGCAGAAGGAGCGCATGCGGCTGCTCAGGCAGAAGCGGGAGGCAGCCGCACGCAAGAAGTACACATTACTGCAGGACAGCAGCACCAGCGACAGTGACCTGACCTGCGACTCCAGCACCAGCTCCTCCGAGGATGAGGGCTCCGGAAACAGCAAGCGGACCATTAGCACAGAGATCCCAGGTATTTGCACTCGCTCCCTAACTCCCAGGGACACGGGCTGTGTTGTGGTTCCCCCGCTTATGTTATGTTAAGTTACTCATCTCCCCCCATTGTTTTTAATTTGCGGTGGGTGCAGTTGTAACTTAGACAAAAGTGCTATAAATAATTTGGGGGGAAACTTTCTGCTCTAGAAGTGAAAAACGAATGCTTAGCTGGCATGGAACTTGCTGCATGATTTGATTAAGGTGCCTGTGTGTTGCAGTGAGCTATATTTAGACAGCAAGGCCCTGCTGTTTCACCCAGTTGCATTTCAGGAGGTGTCAGTATCTTTTGTGGCTTTTGAAGAGTGAAGTACATAGGAGGAAGATTGCGAGGAGGATATTTTTCCTCTTTTTAAACAAAAATCTTTGAACAGATGTTTAATGGTTGTTATCCAGGGTTGAGCAGCACTCTGAGATATACAGTGGGATAGAAAATCTTTGGTAATTCAGGTGACTGATCAACAATGTTGAATATTTGCTTTAAATCCATGCATGACTTAAATTTGGGTTAAATCCTCTGGTTTTGCTCTCCGTCCCCTTGCGCTAGGGTGGGATAGAGAGAGAGGAAGGCAGGTTCCGCACTTTCCATTTCCATCCAAATCTTTCTTTCTCTCCACCCCTAACATTCTGGGATGGTTCATGGTGTCTATGTGTGTGGGTGACAGTTCAGACACAATGGAAAGGGGTAGGGGTTCAGTTGCTTGCACTCAATCTGCCTGGACTGGCACCTCAACAGGGTGGCAGACACTAGAGCCATTTCCCTGCATGACTTAGCATTGACAGAATAGGGTCAGGGAGAGGAACAGTGCATGCCGTCCAACCCAGCTCTGAAGCCCATGTAAAGACACACATGGCTGATTGTCGTTGACTTTCATGATATTGTCCCAATATCATGCATCACTGATTGATCCCCTCAGACCATATCATCTCTGCATTGTTTTTGCAATAAATCTTTACAGTGCTGGGTTCAAGAAGTAGCGTATAGCTAAAACTCAACACTGCAAGAAGACTCAGCTCTCTGATGCGCTGAAGGTGCTGTGTAACGCTGCCCGTTGTATTAGACAAGAATAACCGTAACGTTGAGGAGAGTGATGCTCTTAACAGCCTCATTGCTCCAACTAGCGCCTTGCTCAGTGTTCTAGCTAGACAGCGCTCAGGTTGGGAGGAATGAATTGTTATCGTAGCGTGAGGCTTTTTGTTCATGGTTCAGAAGGACATTGTATATACATGTCACATTCCCGTCATTGTCTTTCACTGATCGCTTTGTGATAGCAGCAGAATTTAGTGATTTGAGATGATATATGTATTGGAAAAAAAGCCGTCTCAATTTTTTTTTCCCCCCACTGGAGCAGAGGAGATTGAGAGGGGACGTGATTCTGAAGGACGTGACAAGATAGACAGAGAAAATCTATTTCCTTAAATTGGGAAATTGGTAACAAAGGGCCCCAGTCTCTGTTTTATAATAATCCTTGCATTTGATATGTTTGACATGTCATGTCAAGGCGCTTCGATTGTTAGCAGAAGAATGGGAGAAGAAATTTCTTTGGGAGGAAGGTTGTAAGTGTGTGGCTTTTATTACTCTAAAGTGGCTCTCTAGGCTGGATCGATAGAAATATTCTAAAGGGAGTTGGATCCAAGGCATTAAAGAGATTACAGGATATGAGGAAAGTGTGAATAGTAGAAATAGAGAGTGATCTAATGATGGCAAAGGCGTGATGGGCTAAGTGACAGTCTGTGTGATGAAATTGGGCAAGCGTTGCAACAGTAAAATATTAAGGAATTGGTGGGGAGGAGAGGGCTGGAGAGTGGGATTCATAATAAAGGGTGATATGATGGGTACCACATAGATGTACTCAGCAGAATGGCTTCCTTTAGTCCCTATGATGCAATGGGAATTTCTAAATGAAGTTGCACACTGTGAAGCGAGTGCTTTGGACTTTGTGTTGACCTTGTGCCGTGCTGAGGCACTGATCTCACATTGCTGGCTGGCACTGGAGGAGCTTGTCGTTCACCCAGCTCAGCGTGTGATCCGATCTGTAGCTGAGCTCATGATTGCACTAGAGGCCAAGTGAGGAGGCAGCTCAGATCAGGTTGATATTGACGGACGAGCCTTTTTATAAACCGAGATCTGCCTCGCGGGTTCAATCCATAGCTCCCATCAATACTGTGCTCTCAAATGTGGGCTTGTCTTTGTCCTGCCCAGTTCACTGAAAGCAATCCACAGGAATATTCACATGTGAGGTCTGCTGGCTACTGATATCAGACCTGTGGCCTTTTTCTGGTCCAATATTTCTGTCAAGCTGCTTCACGCAATTTGCTGTGGCTGACACCAAGGTCAAACCTGTAGGGTTATTTAATAAAGAATCCCGTTAGAATCTCCCTTGTCCCACATAAACGCTGCTCTGCAACTAGGATTGCAATTGAGGGTTTCCTAAGAGTGGCTAAGGTTTGGGATACAGTAGGGTGTCCATCCTCTTTTTCTCTCATCCTTCCCCCACCCCTGACTTCTTCTTATTATGTATAAGCCCATAAAGAAATACCAACAACAACTTGCATTTATATAGCGCCCCTCACACAGGGTAACGCAACTACAACAACAAATTGTGCTCTCCACGCAGGAAAATGACAGATAAGGGCGGAGCACAATGTTGAGCTGGGGGAAGGTGTATAGGCACGGTCGAAGAGAAAGGTCTTGAGGCGCGACCTGAAGATGGGGAAGGAAGGGGGCAAGGCGGAGGGATAGAGGAAGAGTGTTCCAAAGTTTCAGGGTGCAGTGGCTGAAAGTGGCCACCGATGGTGGAACGGAAGGCACAAGGGACATGCAGTAGGTCGGACCCAATTGAGATTAGGTAGTTGGTTGGGGAGTAAGCAGATTGGAGAGGAAAGGGAGGTGCCAGGGTGAGAAGGTTTTAATAGTGAAAAGTCAGCAGATGCATTCCTGTACCTCAACATTAACACTCTTCCCAGGAAATGGTAACTCCAATTTAGACCAGTAGTTCATCCAGATTTGTAATACCAAAAATGTACATGAGTGAAGATGTGCTTTCATACATGTTACTTGGATGACTGCATTTCGTCTCCATAGTGTTCTGTTGTGTTTCTAATTAACTACTAATTAACATAAGCCTCTTGGTACAACCCCTGAATCTCTCCCTTACCCTTCCTCCTCTTCGATCCCATATCAACCTCTCCACTCAGCGGCCTACAGCCTGCCCCATGTCCCCCGCCCGGCTTGACCAGCATTCTGTAATGTGTGACCAATGCAGAATCAATTCACTGTTGCACCTTGAGAAGCAAATAATAGAATGGTTGCGTAAAATGGTTTCTTTTTGTATCAATACATAGCACAGTTCAAAACACAAAATACTGGAGAAGCTGGAAATCTGAAAACTGTTCCCAACGACTTCTGTTTTTGAGCGCAGTTCAACACATGCAGCACTGGTAAGATGTTTGCCAAGATCAGTCATAAACAAGGCAAATGGAATCCTTGGGTTTTGTATCCAGATGATAAAAAGAATATAAAAGCAAGATTTGTTGGATGTCAAACAACCAGCTGGACTATCCTCTGTAGGGAAGGGGTCTCCTTATAGTTCTAACTGGCTCCAAGGTGATGTGCTGGGCAACGGATATTGGAATCCCAACTAGCAGACCACGGGCTGGTTTCATCCACTTGGGCTTCTTTTGTCTAGCAATTCTTAAATTATTATCACACTTATTTTTCATCTGGTAATTGCACCTGTCCCATTCTCTCGGTTTGGTAACTGTAGAGTGGGAGGTAGATTGAGATTTTTAAATTGACCATTTGTTTTTTTATGTATAAAAGACAACACTGAGTTTCCTATCTCACACATCCCCACTGTTATGTTTTCAATCGGGGATCTTATCAGCAAGTCTCAATCAATAACACTCTTCCTTCTGTTTCATGGATTGAAGTCCCCATGGTGGGGCTTGAGCTCACGGTCTAGACTGACAATCTGGACAAGTGCTGATGCACTGAGCTCCTGTCTGCTTGTTGTCTCTCACCCTGACCATTTCCCCCCCCAATGCTCGGGTCCTGACCCAACTATACAGCGCCTTGGGACGTCCCCCCGACATGAAATGCGCTCTATAAATGGAATCTTGTTGTTGTTGTTGTTGGTGTTAAGTATCCTGCAACTCTATTCGGAAGTAGAATGTTTATTTCATGCTGTACTGGCCAACAATCTTGCAGATAAAATTGGTTGTTTGCTTTATGACTGTAGACAAAATGGCTGCTTTTCTTACCATTAAATACACCTGCAATTAAATCAAGGAGAATTATAGTTCATTTACTTGAATGGGGACACTAAAGCATATTGCGTCTCTTTGCTGGCCCACAGCAGTTGTGATCTGAGCTGGGGGCTCCCTCCATACTGCAGTGTTTGTCAGGTGGGCAAGGACAGGCGTAATCATTTTTGAACTGCAATGTTAGTCTACTGAGTAAAGGAAGTCATCTGATGCACTTCACAATGTCCTTGGCTAAATTTAACTCCAGTGCGCGTCTGTATTGTTGGCACTGCAGTTTAATTGTTCAGGAGGTTGTTTAACGGCAAAGGGAGAGAAAGCTGAAAGTTGTATGAAAACTATCCCATGCAGTCAAGTAGTCTTCAAGCATTCCCACAAAATACCCATTTCTGACCTTGCCGTTGCTCATTATCCTTAAACAACTCCTTCCATCTTTCCTTTCTACTTAGTAGGAACCATCATCTTTGTTTTGACGTTTATCCAGTGTGGAAAGTGTGTAACTGTAAGTTGTATTTGTCCTGTCCTGGGTTTCAAGTTTTAATTTTGTTAGTCTAGTTTTACTCTAGACGAGATGCTTGCAGACATTTCGCCCACAAAATACAGTCAATTCACTTGACAGTATATGCTGCAAGATGCTTTAGACTGTGCAGCATAAATAGTTGAACATCACATTTCTGTGCTGCATCATTCTATGTACATAGATTTTCAAGCTTCCTG